ATTAGGCTAACATTGAAATCATAGCACACCATATATTTTTCCTTTGAATAACATTCATACACATAGTCTTTTGGGCATTGGTTCCTAAAGCTTAATGAAAATATTACATGTCTACATGGTATGTCTACCAACTCCCAGAAATTACATGTGTGTGTTCTTTTAGAAGTGTCCACTATGAAACTATGTCTAGTATGAACATGTTCAACTTGCCATATGGTATCACCAGACCAGTTTAGAATCCAATTACCAGCATGTTCTACTTCTTTATCTAACCTAATTCTAGGTCTTGACATTATCCTATGTTGCCACCTATAAACTTTTTCTCTTAAGCTAGCATATCCTATTCATGATGTAGTTTCTTATCCATTCACACATGGTTAAGATTGGTTTATCCCTAGCTACTGGTGTTGTGCTAATACAAGCTTATGATACATTAGTCATTAGCACATCACATTTGGAATAGAAAGAGAAAGCATGCTTACACCATGATTTGGTAGGTATTATGTTCAACCATTCCCAAGCCTTCAAATTAAGCACCTTCAACTTTTTCATCTTAGCTTCCCATGCTTGTATATATGTAGCCTTTGCTGCAACCATCGTCAAATCTCTAATTTGCGTGCCTTCTCCAAATTTCTTTTTGAAATTAGCATATAAATGCCTAAGACAAAGCCTATACTTCACCCTCTCAAACATATCTTCAAATACAAGAATTAAGCCCTTCAAATCCAAACAAATAATCACTATCAGGGACCAAATCCAGACAAACATACATATCTCAGGGATGAAATCCAAACAACCAATTATTTGTTATGGACCAAATCCAAATAAACAGACATATTGTAGGGATAAACTATAAAAGTAAAACACTAATTAGGGATGAAATTCAAAAAACAAAATAGATCTGAAAAGTATCTTTTGTTGGTCTGATATGAAAACCCATCTTTTGTCTTTCCAATGCCTTCTAAAATCAAAGTCAAGAACATGCTCCATGACTCCTTTGTTTCAGTTTCACATACACCAAAAACTAAGGGGTGATATTGGTCGTTTGGGTCCCTTCCAACATCAATAAGCAAGGTGCCTCCATATTTTGTCTTAAGGTGACATCCATCAACACCAATGAATGACCTGCAAGATATGGTGAATCCCTTCTTCACTCCATCAAAGCAAAAGTAAAAACACCCAAACCTTGGTTGTATTGTGGATCCAACTCTTATCACATTAATTTTGCAAGTATTTCCCACACTTACCCTCATCAATTCTGCATAATACCTCCACAATAGGGTATATTTCTTTGTTGCATCACCTTCAACCAAAGTTTTTGCAATTTTCTTAGCCTTCCATCCTCTACTTATAGTTATACCTACAAAGTAAGTACTCATAATCTCATAATAATATCACGAAGCTTGATTCCATCAGATGATGCCATCGTAGTGGCTACAGTCTTAGAAATCCACTTGGAATTAGCTGGAGTATTATTCAAAACCCCACCACGCGTGTGAGCACCATCCCATCTCTTTATTCCATATGTGTGCTTATTCCCAACTTTACAAACAAGAGCCAAAAACTCACATTTGCCCTTGCAAACTACCCTCGCTTTAACATTGTCATTTTTCACATACTTTATCACTCTACCATTTAATATTGACCATTCAATAATTTCCTCCTTAAATTCATATAGAGATACAAACTCCAAACCCACTTTAAACTTGTAATTCTTGTCCAAGTCTTTCATCTTAAACCTAAGATACTTTGGTCCTTTCTCTTCATCTGATGCATCAGGATCACTACTCCCAAGATCATCACTTACATAGTTAGTTTCCATATCTTCATTACCTCCATTGTCACCAACATTTATTATCTTTGTTGGAGTAGACATGTGTTTCTTAGCTATCTGCTTAACCCTTTTGCTACCAGATGTTTTTCTACTAGATCAAATTCATCATCCAAGCCAAGAGCCCTCTCATCCTCATTGTCCTCAAATGATAAATCATTACCTTCAAAATCACTATCATCATTTTCTTCACTATCATCACTAACATCTCCATCTTCTTCAACATTATTAAGGTTTTCATCAACATTAACATTTACATTAGCATCATCATCATCAACATTAATATTAGCAACATCACCAACATTGACACCATCAACATTATCAATAACATTAACAACATCAATATCATCAACATTAGCATGCATATTATCAATATTATCGACATTATCATCATTATCATCAACTAATCCATGCTCAACATATAAGTCCACACTACAACTTATTTCAACAACTACTTCATAAACCTCAACAACATCACTATCACTAACCATTCTTTTATACTTGCCCGAAATAATATTATACCACCATAACCAATAATCTGAGTACTCAAGATTCCAAAGTTCTTTCACAATACGGTTTGCTTCAAAGAAAATCCACCTATCAGGGTCAATGTCTACTATATGTCCATCCCCACCTAGGTAGTATATGACATTGTCCCTAACAAACGTTCCCTCATAATGAATATTCATAGTAAATGTCATACATGGAGCTATGGATACCTTACTCAATCGTAAATTTTGCTTCGTCAACCACAGTCGCCTCACCCAGAGTTGTCTTCGATTCAAGCACCTTCACCTTCATTGAGCTCTAATGTTTCCTTTTTTGTAACCCTAATTTACATGAACCAAATTTAAAAGGGGAAATGATCGTACCTGACCAGAGTGGACCATCACAACTTGCTCCAAGTAGAACTTGACAGTGAGGTGGGAGGTATCTGCAGGATACTCCGATGCCAAAGTAAGTTTCGGAATGAGCAAGCAAGTATGGGAGCAACAAATGTTCAATACCTGACCCTCTTGAAAGAGAGGGTATTTATAGCCCCCAGCGCTGGGCCAATGTCTCTTTAGTGGGCTGGTCCAGTAGGCCCAACATGGAGGCTGTCAGATCCTACGTGAGTAGTGGGGACCCGCACGTGGTCCCCCACCTGAATGACTTCCTCCGCAAGATCAGGAGGATATGGATGCAGTATTTCTGGGGCCACGAAGACTCCGTGATATTCGGAAACGTCACAATAAACCATACGAGGAGGATGCTCGTGAGGTTCCCCTGTTCGCCGCGGAGGTCGCATATGCGTGGAAGTTTCCTCCTCGAGGTCAGAACTGGCCTCGAGGTCCCCTTGGCCGGTGGTGTCCTTCCCCAGACTGAGTGGGTTCATCCCCGTGCGGTGAGGTTGCCTCCTCACGGGGGCGTGGAAGTTGCCTCCTCGAGGTCAGAACTGACCAGTATATCCTGATCGATATAATTGGGTTGGGCCTCACATGGAGTTGGGCCAAGGGCAGGCCCAGTTCAGAACAAGAAATAAATTTTAATGGTCTGTTTTGGGGAGAAATTATAATATCCACGTGTAATAATGAAAAGAATAAAAAACGATAAACCAAATATCAAGTCATCACCGTCTGTCACATAAGTTTTTTTAACGGAACATGGACAACAGGGACTAACACCTACAAAAAATGGACACACGAGGACCTGCACAAAAAAAAAGAAGATTCGGGGATCAAATTCAAAATCCCGCTAACTTACAGGGACAAAAATACTATTTAAGCCTTTATTTTATTAAATTTACGGACATGTATCTCTGGAAGAAATTTTAATTTGTTATAGAGTGAAACCATTTTTGCTCGTTTGTGTGTGATACAAAAGATACGTCTGAAGATATATTTCCAAAAATAAAGAGGTATTTTTGAATTTTTGTTTTGTTTTCACCACCTGTATAGTTTGGTTCAGGGATCAGTACCAAATCCAACGTCAAATTCAACGTATAATCACTACTAGACCTATGAATGTAAACGAATATCCATGGAGACGAATAATATGATATTTGTATCCGCTTTGTTGGATAAATATGATATCCGTATCCTCCCCATGCCCGTGCAGATATCTGCGGGTTTTAAGATATCCGCAAATATTTACATATATCCATAGATAATATTTTTTCTAATTTTCTTTAAAATATTTTCAATTTCTTTTAAAAACAAAAAAATTATTATCACATAACATCTATACAAATCTCTCTTGTTTTAACTACAAAATTTTATCACATTCATTTTCACCAAAATATAATATTCATATATTTTATTTTTTAATAAAAAATGAAAGACATTATGATTATGAGTTGTGGGGAAAGAGCAGACGACGGGTGAGTAGAAAGAAAGATATTAGTCGGACATGAAAAATAGTTAATTGGACGGTAAAATTGTTGAAGTGATATATAGAGTAAAAATGAAATTTAAAAATGAAATGTCTAATATAGTTTGTACGGAATGTAAAAGCTTTTCTTCAACGAAAACTTTTAAAAAATGAGAAGATTAATTATTTTAAAAGATGAAAAGATATATTGTAATAAATTAATAGTTAAATAATTTTTATAATTTATTAATGAATATAGATATTTATTTGGTACTATTAAATTAAGATCCATATTTATTATTAAATAAATATTTAAATATTTATTTATTTTATCCATAAATATCTATCAGACGCTTTTATCCCATATCCGCGGATACAGAATTTTTTTCCTAAGAACCAACAAACATTGGTTATTTTTTATTTTGCATAGTTGAGATATTAATCACGGAATCGCCACCCACGTGAACACCAAATTATGTGTTTCGTTCCAAATCATCCAGCTAAGTGTTAAGTAGTCTGTTAATTGACAAGTCAACATTTCAAAATAAAATCTCAAATGTTTTGTGGACAAGTTAAGAAATATTTTGGAAACAAAATAAACTAATATACTAAATCCTCACAAATGACAAAAAGATATATACAAGAAATACTTTTTTCCATTAAGAGAAAAAAAATAAAATTAAAGAGGAAATAAGATAGATGGACATGATTAAATGCCTTTACCAACTTAAGCAAATTTATCTCTTTCTTTTAACACGACCAACTTATAATTTACACAGATTCTCTCCATCATCTGAATCTGAATAATTTAAAAATCAAAATGATCCTCATTAAGGGAGTGTTGCTGTTCATCTTAGTTGCAAAATCATGTTCTTCTGATGTCAGTGAAGTGGTAACATGCTCCAACATAGTACCAGTTAATCATCGTACCGACAAGATTTGTATAATAGATTTTGGTGGTGTTGGTGATGGAAAAACCCTTAACACCAATGCATTCAAAGAAGCTATTTACAAAATTAGGCAATTGTCAGAAAGGGAAGGAGGGGCCACGCTTTATATACCTCCAGGGGTGTACTTGACTGAGTCGTTTAATCTTACTAGTCATATGACTCTTTATCTTGCTGCTGGTGCTGTTATCAAAGCCACACAGGTACATAATCAACCTTCACTAAGTTTATTAGGGCTGTTCATGTTATGTTTATTCAGAAAATTGAATTGGACCCAACACAACCAAACTGAATCTTTCCATTTATTTAGAACTTATGAATCTGATTGGAGGAATCATGTTTTTAAAGAGCACTAGGTTGTTGAATGGTGATACTACAACTCTTTAATCTTAACAGTTTGTAATAGAATTTTTGGCTGTTACCACTTAGTTACCACCATATTTGATTTTCTTTTGGAGGACTCTTTCTTCTTTTGAGTTCATTTCCTCTTCTTACTCCTTAGAATTCTTACAACTGGCCTTTAATTGCACCATTGCCATCTTATGGAAGAGGAAGGGAGCGACCTGGAGGAAGGTACATGAGCTTTATCCATGGAGATGGACTTCAAGACGTCGTAATCACAGGTCCGTATCGGATATTCAATACAAAATAAACATGCATTTAGAATATAACATGTTAAATATAATTCCTAGTTTAATAATTTCATAGGTGAGAATGGAACGATTGATGGGCAAGGAGATGAGTGGTGGAACATGTGGAGGAATAAAACTCTTCAATTTACCAGACCAGGTCTTGTTGAATTTGTGAATTCGAAAGATATTATTATTACTAATGTCACCTTCAAGGATTCCCCATTCTGGAACATTCACCCTGTTTACTGCAGCAACATTGTTGTTAGATTCGTCACAATTTTGGCTCCGCACGACTCTCCTAACACTGATGGCGTTGATCCAGGTTAGTAGTATCTTTCAAGAATCGATATGTGTCTGTCAGATACACGTCGTACCCGACACTTGAATCGTAAATGTGCATTATCATAGTGTGAATAATTCATTTATGCAGATTCAAGTTCGAATGTTTGCATAGAAGACTCGTACGTATCCAGTGGAGACGATATTGTGGCAGTGAAGAGTGGATGGGACGAATATGGAATTTCTTACGGCCGTCCTAGCTCTAACATTACCATTCGACGTGTCAACGGATCATCTGCATTTGCCGGGATTGCTGTCGGCAGCGAAGCATCAGGAGGAGTTGAGAATGTACTCGCTGAACACATCAACCTTTATAACATGGGAATTGGTATACACATTAAGACAAATATCGGAAGGGGAGGGTATATCAGGAATATAACATTGTCTAATATTTATATAGAGAATGCAAGAACAGGTATAAAGATTTCAGGTAGTGTTGGTGACCATCCTGATGATAAATATGACCATAATGCCCTCCCAATTGTAAAGGGTATTAGAATTGAGAATGTATGGGGTGTGAAGGTTTTGCAAGCTGGTCTTATACAAGGAATCAGAAATTCTCCTTTTACTGATATTTGTTTATCGGATATCAACCTTCGCGGAACAAATGAAACTAAAAGTAGAACTCCGTCTTGGAAGTGTTCGGACGTGTCTGGAGTTGCTCGTCAGGTTAGTCCATGGCCTTGTTCCGAGCTAATCAGCAACCACTCAGGTTCATGTGCTGATTACACTAATGCTTTTCGTTAACCTCTCATGAAGTATTGTTAGTTATTGTAATTGATTCTATTGAACAAACATTAAGGCGATACAGCCTAATGGTTAACGAGTTTCAGTTAAAAGACGAATTGTTCGGGAGAATCAGGATTTGATTCCTTACTAATTTTGGTTAATTTTGAAATTTTTGCATTGCAAAATGATTAACTAGGATTAGTGAAGTTTCATTCCATGCCACTTATTTTTGTAATAATTGATTGTTCCCTATCAACATTTTTAGGGGGGAAAATACTTCATGGCCCATTCTTTTGGAATTAGATAGAATTCTTGGGATATTCTTCATATATACTGTATTCCATAAGTAGAATAGTATTCCAATGATTTGGCAAGGCATGTTGAGTTTATGGGTAGGGCCATAAATTTTTTGACCCTACAAAAATTACTCATTTGGAGAAAAACTTAAGTGACTTAGACCCGTGATAACATAAATTTAGATGTTTTTTGTATTGTAACAAAAATCTAATTAGTAATATAGTTTCGGTAATTCACCTCGGTTGGTATATAGGAATATTCTATTGCAAGGTACGGATTTAAATCAGGAACCATCATGTGAAATTTTGATAATTAGATTATTAACATGATGTGATGAAGTACAATGGGATTACTCCTTGTACATGTCCATTCATGAATGGTACATCAACATCTATTGATTTCCACATAGAAACTTCATGACAATTTCTCATTGTATCTTTGAATATTCTCAGGTCTGTGTGAAATTTCTAAAATGTCATCTATTTTTGAAGATGTAACTTTGAACGAACTAAATTTTCACTTTAATCATAGGTTAATTCGGAGATATATCATCGAAGTTATTTTAGGGTGTGTTTAAAGATACATCTCTAAATTTATTTATTTTTAATTCAAAATAATAATTCAGAGATGCATCTTTAAATTAGGTGAACATATTTAAAGTTCGCGCTAGACTATCCCTCTTCTCCTTCTTCATTTTTCAGAAACTCAATTTTCTCTACCTCAACCTACCCATTTATAATTCCCACTCAAGATCAAGTTTTGAAACAACATTTACTTGTATCTTGTCATTCTCAACTCTCTTTAACTAGTACATTCAACATCGGATCATTTTACACTCTCATCAACATATTTTTTAGAAAGTTTCTCATTTATCTTATTTTGATTTTTGATTAATGTATTAGCTCAAATCGGTTAGTTTTAATCCATTAGATAGCATTAGCATTTCAAATAGATTATGTATAGTATCTACTTATATGATCGGGATGAGTTTGGATAAGTTTGGATGACTAGGGCAGTTGTAGAAAAATTTATTTCGTCGATGCTACAAAGCTTTTTTTCGGATATGCATATTTGAAGTGTTATGCTTCAGGTTTTCAGAGATACCCGGACTCTTTCCTTTCTCATATACTAATCAAGTTTGTTATATTTTTTTCCAAGGGTTATGGCTGAAAACCAAGAAAGATTGAGACTTTGGCGATCCACCCTAGCTGCCTCTACTCATCGCGAGAGGGCTCGTCAGCACGAGCAGGCTAGAGTCGTTCCCCCTCTGTCTCACGATAGAGAGGCGTCAATATCTAGGAGTCGACTATCACGTGGAGATAGTTGAAGACCCAGAAGCTGATGATCTTTGGGTTGGCTACCACAGAGATGGATTTTTTCAAGGGTTAGTTACTTATATTTATTTTCTTATTCGTTTTCAGGGATGGACCTTTGCCCACTATCACCGTATTCACGGGTTTAAACTTGACTCGTTCTATATTGATGATTATCCATTTGCTTGTCGGTTTACCCTTAGCAAAGGGATTGATGTTATCTGGTCGTTCCATGTGTATATTGATCGGACTCAACATGATGACGTCGTTTGGATGCCATATGCTACTCACCAAGACAAAGTTTCATTCGACCATATTTCCTTATATCCTGAATGGTTGGCATGTGGGACTAACATCATGTAAAAGTATCTGTCTGAGCGATGCATGTAGTAGTTTGGGTACGTGCAGATCATTCCGAGTGACCCCCTCCAGACTTCTCCTATCATTATTGTCCGCAGAGAGATGGATGACACTCTGGTGGATTTTGGGAGTTGTCTGGTATCGGTGGAGTATCATAGTCATGAGGCTACAAAATAATAGTCTTATGTGATATGGTTCTACATGGTGTTACACCCTTATATGACTCATGACACTCATGAACGTCCACCTTGGCCTACTCATAAGGAGATCCTAGAGATTGAGCAGGCCATGGATGATCATGTCAGTGATGTCTTACCGATCTGTCAGAATATTATGCAGATTACATGAGAGGGCATCAATTTTGGACTATTCGAAAGAGGTGACAGCGAAGTGGTTGCCCTAACATATTCCATTATGTTCGAGGTACGAAATCTATTGGATTACCGTAGTGTTGTACCTTAAAAATTTTCCTCACATTTTTCTTCAAGGCGTTCTTCCAAGGCTTCTCAGACACTTAGGACACTCAAGGGTTGACTAGTCAAGATGCTCCTCTTAAGCCAAAAGCCTACAACTAGGGTTTGGAATTTCTCAAGGAAATTCGGTTTGCAAAAGTCTCAAGTGGCTTCCATGGTTCTTCATAGGTCCTCAACAAGGTTCATGTCAAGTTTCAAGCCCTAAATCACAAGTTTACTCAGTCAATGGCTCAGATGATTGAAAATTAACTGTATTGGTCAAAAAGTCGATTGTAGTCAACATACAGTCAAACTTTAAGATTTTTGGTGATATTCATCATTTGATCAGTGGATGATCATGATTCCTCAAGAAAAGCCCTCAAATCATCAAAAGTCAAAAATGGCCAAATTAGGAATTCCTTATGAGAAGTCAACTGAACTTTGATCAGGCATAACTTTCATATGCTTCATCAACTTTTTCCCAGCCAAATCCCATTTTGAAGGAATTTTAATTATCTACAACTTTTCTTTTATTCTCAAGTCCAAAAAATACTTCATTTGGAAGATATTATCTCATACATTATAGGTCATTTTCAAAAGTCAACAAAAGATACTTTTTGTGAAGGCAACTTACATTAAGATAATGTCTTCAAAAGAAAAAATGATCAACATATAGATTGTAGAGGACATATTGGGATTTTCAAAAAGTCCAATATCATCATCAAAAGATGAAAATTAAGCAAGTTATAAGTTGCACAAGTTGGGGAATTTTGAAGAAATTCATGAAGTACAAATTGAGCAAAATTGCATTTTTGAACCTATGAGCCTAGTTTTTGATGTTCAAACATGTCCATAACATCTTAGAGGACTTATAAGTCCATTTTTGCATGACCTTGAATTTTATTATTTTTTTATTTTATATTTATGTTGATTTTATTTAATTTAAAATCAAATAAATTAAATAAAAATACAGTAAAACATGGGATAATGCATCTGGGCTTAACTTGACTCACCATGGAGCCCAATATTTTGTGCAAAGACCAACAAAAATTGTCTAGGTTCATGCAAAAACGAAATTGGCAAGAATCATTCAAATATGACCAACTTTTAATATGTTGGATTTTTTGTCTCATGGCCTTGAAAGCTTGATTCCTTGTCATATTGGTTTGCTCATATCACTCCTCTATAAATACACAATACAATGCAAGCAAAGGCATACACATAGATAGCTACAAGAAGTTTCTACAAAATTCTCAAAAATTGCTAAAATTTGCAAGTATTCGCAGTTATATTCTCAGGCGCTATCAGTCCAAACAAGTGGATAAATCACATTTCCGAGACTTCCAGGAGTCTACTCAGGCCTCTTGCCAAGCCAATCCACGCACAAAACAACTACACCAAGTAGCTCCGGTTGGGTAAAAATATCTTAATTACAAACTCTCAATTCTTATGTTGTAAATGGTTTATAAGCGTTCATGCATGTTCATACTGATGTTTAGAATGTTTTAGAACCATTGTGTGATACGGTGGAGAAGAACTGACTGTTTTTTGGAATGTTGGTTTGCGTTTGTTTTCGCAAAATGTCGCGGTAAGTAAGAGTCGCCACCGATTTTTATTTTATCCAACAAGGAAAGGAAAAAAGCACAGAAAAATTCCTTTTTCGAGATATTTCTCGGGTTCGGGGGGTAGATTATAGAAAGGGAAGGTGTTAGCACCCTTTCTATCTGTGGTTATCCACGGGCTCTTAGGTACTTGCTCATATTGTTTTCAAAAAATTGATTTCTTTGTGCTTGTGGGTTTGAAAAAGTTTTTGTTTGAAAACTTCGATCGTATTATGATGTGTTTTGAAAACTTTGTTTGAAAAGTGTAAGTGTGAAAAAGATTTTGTTTTTTGAAAGAGCAAGTACTTAAGAACCATCTACCTACTCGAAAAAAGGAATCGTTCTATGCTATCTTCCTTTAGACAATGCTATCCTACTATTGATGAGTAGGTAGCACCGTCGTTGGAGTTTGAGGGTCAATTCGAATTTAGGGACTTACGGTCACCAAAGCAATGTTAGGACGCCTTAGCGGTAACTCTAATGTCTTAGATCATTTGTTTTGAGGCAACAATATCTGAGGTAACCTTTCTGAGGCGACTATGATCTTTTAGACGAGAGGGCGACCTCTAAAGTGACCTATACTCAATGACCGCGTACGAAGGCAACCAAGTGGTGTGTACCCTAAGAGTGCGCATGTACGAGTGTGTTGTTTTCGGTTAATTTTATCTTTTTACATGTTGAGGGTGATCTATGTTGATTTTAGGTTAAACATTCATTCTTGTCATGCATTCCTATTATCAAACATCCAACATTTATATTTTGCGGAAAATAAATTGCGGAAATTAAATTACAAGGCGTCAGGTATTTACATCGCCAAAGACAAATCCTTTAAAAATAAATAAAGCGATAAAAAATAATAAAAGTCCTATTAAGCTATTACATTCCGGGAACAAATACAATATGATAAATAGATCGCGTGCGGAGAATTAAATCGAGTGCGAGTTCTAGGGTTTTGACCCTTTTTGTTAAAGAAAAAGATTTTTTTGTTATTTTTT